AAACTGAGATTAACAGGAAAATCAGGCTCTGCCATGGTGTGCAGATGTGACCACAACTGTCTTAATTTATTCAGCAAACATTTGTTCAGGGCCTACTAGATGCCAAATAGTCACTGGCCACTGGGATTAGAGGGATAAATGGTACCTGGCACAGTTGAGGAAGTTCCAGTTGATGGGAAAAGGCAGATGTGACTGAGAGTGTTCTGAAAGATGAAGCTGTGCACTGGGACATAGGGACGAGGAGGGAGTCTTACTGTCCACAGCTACAGGATACTCTGGTGTGAGTGCATATGTGTCTTTCACCATGCTGACAGGTGGGAGGGTGTAATGAGACTTGCTGAGACACAGGACTTTTGAGTTTGATAGTAAGGGGTTCATACTGCAGCATGAGGAAGGAACCGGCTTAGGAAAGGAACGGTTTCTGTCAGAATACTGGCAAAAGATGCATGTGGAGACCTAAGAATTCATACTTACAAGACAAATGCTTAGTGCCAGATAGAGGCTTGGTGAGACTTCATGCAGAGTGTCACCACTGCAGCCTTGTCCCCGACAACAGCAGTGACAGCGGCCAGCTATTTTCATCATCATGTGCCATACCTTTCTGTAAAACGCTTTTTCAGGCACCGCGTAATTTAACAGTGACGCCCTTGTCCTGGCAAGGAACTGTTTTGTTTTTTGTTTGCTTTGTTTGCTTTTCACTTGACACATGAAACAATCAAAATTTTGGTCTAGAAGTTCACTTGCAAAATCTCAAAAGCAGCATTTGAACCCATATCTAAGTGACCACACAACTATGATCCTTTTATCGACCCTGGTTCACCAACTTGCTAGATGGGGTAGTTTATGTTCCTTCAGTAAGATACAGGCTGATGCCTGCATCCTTGTGTGTGCTCCAGGCTCACATTTGTCTGAATGCTTTTCCTCCTACCAACCAGAAGCTATGTTACCAAGAGGTACACCCTGACAGGGTGTTGCTTATTATCACTGTCATTTAATAAAATGTTTATGTCCCAAAGCATTCATGTCTTGAGAAAGTGGGAGAAGCAGTGATGGAAGAGTGTTGGGGAAGATTGAGACTAGAGGCCATAAACTTAGGTGTGAGAAGAGCAACAAAAGGTAGAGAAATCTGGAACCTTTCTTCACCTGCAGAAGTCATTTTCATTCTTTCTAATGTTTAGTGATTATATATTCTTACTGTGTTCTTTAAAAAAGAAAGCATGAAGCAACAGTCAGCAGGTTCCTGAGCCCAGGAGATTTGTCTCTGTGCTGGACATGCCTAAGACTTCAGAGAAAATAAATGTGTTGGATTTTCAGTGATCCCCCCAGCCATTGCTGCTCCTGCTCCCTGTCCTTCCAAAGGGACCTCCTCTTTTTTTTCTTTTAAGCTTGTTCAGGATGAGCATACTACAAGGAAGAACAAAGACCAGACCTCTGGATCCCAGCAGGCACATGTACACGACTTCAAAATGAATTGAATGATAATAATCAGAACTGTGAATGGTAGATCTCAACACGGCAGGCTCATACAGAAAAACTTTACATTTGAGGAAATGTTAAGGGAGTATATTCTTGATATTTTCTCCCTTGCCAAGTTTTTGTTTCTGTAGATTGGTAATGGCAGCACATAAAAGGAAGAGTGCAGATTTCAAGGATCTGTTAGATAATAGTTTCAACTAAACTAATGACCCTTGGGTGAAATCTCTGAGTCTCTTTATCCAAATTTAGATGGCATATTCAGACCCATGTCATCTAGCTGTTGAGTGCATATTGCTGGGCAAACATGAAGTTTCTAAAGTAGGATTTTTTACTTCCTAACCTTTTCATGGGACCATGAAAAAGAAAAAGATATTATGAACAAGGTAAACAGAACATAGAAAAGGATGCTCACCCTTTGACAGTTGTTACTGAGAACTGCCCTTGCCACATCTAAAATAGATTACACAGTGAGATGAAGAATGCCAAGAATCCAGTTGTTTTAAAGAGTTTAAATTTGGTCAGTAGGCAGGAAGCTGGCTACCAGGGAGATAGGTGGTGGCAGGAAGCTTTGGTGGAGCTTTTTTGGGTGAGGAGAGTTGGCATTGTAAGACATTGTTCGTCTTTCTCTGCAAACAGCGGGTTTGGCCTCGCCTCGAGGTTTACAGCATTTTGCTAATCTTTTGTTCCATAGCATTTTTTTTTTGGCAGGGTAACCATAAAAATCATTAAGATTTTCAATAAAGATAAAGGAGTCAGGAGAGTGTATTATTCTTTGTCTGCTAAACATAGTTTTCTCAGTCCAGATGTTTGGTATCTGTAGCACTCAGAGCTCCCGGCGGTAGGAGCTGCACATGGTTGGTGAGAGAGAATTCCACAGTTTTACAAGACCCACACTCTCAGGGCAATAAAGGGAACTCAGGGCACGGAAAGACATCCTTTGACTTCTGGACGTGTGTAAGCCTGATGGGAAAGAGAGCCCTGGTGACTGGAACGGTGGACAGAGTTACAGTTCCAGGAGAGCTGGCAGGGATTGGATTTATGGAAGAAAGGAACCTGGGGAAATCAAAAATAAAAGAAACTAGAATTCTGGAGCTGGAGAGATGGCTCAGTGCTTAAGAGCTCTGACAGCTCCTCCAGAGAACCTGGGTTTAATTCCCAGCACCCACATGGCAGCTCACAGCTGTCTGTGACTCCACTTACAGCAGACCTGAAACCCATGCACATAAGAATAAATTTTTTAAAAAGCGTACAAAATAAGCATCTAGAAATCTTAACAACATATATTTGCAGAGATAATTATGATAAGGGGTATCATAGACAAGGCCAGAACTTTTCTCAGAAATAAGAATTGCTTACACTTTCGATTCTGATGAAGAGTGTCTTAAGCTACCTAAAACCAACAAGCTACAGCATTGTGTTCCATTGGGTAGTGTCAACGATACTTGGAATAGTACTTAAAGTTGACCCAAGAATATCTTGTGCCATTGTAACATGACTGTAATACTGTAATCTACAAGGTTCATGCTCAAAATACATGAAATTGAATTAAATAGAAAAGAATTTTAAAAGAAAATGCATAATAGTTTAAGCTTATGATTTTGCATTGGTCATTTATATAGTTTTCCTCATGTGGCCTGGGCGGTGGGCACAGGTTAGACCTGACTTTGGAGACTAGTGCCTAAAGAATCCTAGATGTGTAGTCACTAAACTTCTATCATGTTCAAAAGAAATGAGTCACTCATACTAACCTTTTTTCCTTCCAGTTAAGATGTCTTTAATTTACTTGAATGAGAAAGGAAGGCGGCCGCGGCGGGGGGAAGGACCCAACTTTCTTGTGGCTGGTTTTAAAACTGCTGTTTTACATGAAAATTTTTAACCTTATTTCTTTAGACCAATGCCATGAGGTTGTGGTCTCTGTGTTAATAGACCACATGTGAGGAAGAAGCGTCCAGCAGGTACTGAGGCAGTTTGTCGCCGTCAGTGACTCATACGTGTCTTAGTAGAGATTGTCCACTTCTCGGATCCATGGCTAAAGAAATGCTGAGGCACTAGGAAAGAAATCAGAACACAGCTATGATGTTTAGAGAGAAAGAAATTTGTACTGTTGACAAAGTGCAAATATTTTGTTTGGAAAAGAGAAGTCTGAAGGCAATTGAATGCTGGCCTTCCAGACTAGGAAGGAGCACTTGGAGGCGAATGACCAGATTTCCTTCCTTGCCAAGCACAGGTAAAAACCCATCTCCCACAGTGGCAGGGCAAGCACAGCATACAGGAAGAGCAATGCACAGAGCTGAGGCTGCTTAATCAAAGGAATCCATCACCCCGTTGTGTATGAAGGCTTGCTTGAAGGCAATGAGAATTCATATCTGCACTTTCTGTGTTGAGAAAGCTACTTCCTGAAGGAGCAGGGATGAATTAAATGAACTTGGTCTTTTTAACCCATGGAGTCTGTGATTTATCCTTAAATTACATAAGGTAAAGATGTCAGGCAATTATTTTGAATTATAGCCTCATACCCTGGTGCTGCCAAGTGGAGTTACTTTCCAATAATGTTGAGGAAGTCAGTGACAGAGACATACATTTATTTCATAGGCCATGAACTCAGATACCTACAGGGTTCTCCTGGCCTTCGAGAGGAGCAAGCTAAGAGCAGCACACTAGTTAGTAAAGTTGTGAGCTAGGGTGTGAATGCCCCATGTAAGCTGGCACCACAGCAGACATGGTCTTAGAGTGTCAACAGACCTTTGGCTCTCCAAGAAAAAGCTAGAAATCTAAAAACTTAGGTGATTGACTAAGACGTGACAAGATGGTTTCATTGGAGTACTCTGCAGGTATAATGTGGCCGTTGTATAGTTTGAAGCCCTGGATTTGTCCTTCACCAGTTCATGCCTCTGTCATTAACAAACAGAGCACAAGTGATCGGACTCTAGAGTGACGGAAGTTTATTTGCTAAGGTCGCCAGCTCTGTAAATCTTTGACCTCTGATCCCTTCCTCCTTGCTCCTGGTAGCAGATGAGTTAGGAAATAGGAATTTAAAGGCATTACTTGTTTCCGAGGCTATTGAGATGGCTCAGAGGTAAAGGCACCACCTGATGGCCTGAGTTCAATCCCTGGAACCCCCATAATGGAAGAAGAGAATGTTCTCCCATAGAGCGTTCTCAGAGCTCTGCATATGTGCTATAGCATGGTGCCCTCATATGTATACACGCACATAAATAAATATAACAAAGGAATTATTTCCTTAGCAACGTGATTTTATTTAGTAAAACTGTCAAGTACTTGGAGTGAGAAGCAGCTCTCACTACTGATGCTGTTCACTGTTCAACGCACATGTCTCTGCAGCAATTTGGATCTCTGCACTAACATTTGTGTATAACATTGGGTGCATGAGGCATGCTTGATTTCAACATTAACACTCTTACTACCATTTGGTGACATGCTTTTCTCTTACAAAAATAATTGTTTTAATAACAACTCCATGTAGGATAAGGAGAGCTGTTTTTCTGAAATCCTCTGCCTTTCAGACTGGAGAATATGCCACTGATGAAGAAGAGGGTGAGGTCGGGCCCACTCTTCCTGGCGGTGACATGGCCATTGAAGTCTTTGAGCTCCCTGAGAATGAGGACATGTTTTCCCCATCAGACCTGGACACAAACAAGCTCAGTCACAAGTTCAAAGAGGTGAGCTCTGACTGGCGCAATGTTTGCTTGTGCCTGCCCCTTTCATTGTTAAATGTGTTTTTATTTGTGGAATGAACCAAGAATCATCTGTTTCCTGACTAAAGTTTGTCAAGAACATTATCTGAGTCTTAAATATGAGTGTACAATTTTAGCAGATTGCATTCTGCTATCACCAATTTTAATGTTTGTCACTTGTCACAGTATTAGTTTGTAACTTTGGGCATCATTTCGGGACACATCCAAGTTACAATGTATTTTTTACTTTTACACACGCTTTGGCGCGTGGCCATAATCTCTTTCTTCTAGTGCAGTTATTTCTCTAGAAAGCTGTTTTTCTTTGTTTTCCTGAAGTAGTCAGTTTCTAATAAGAATAGCGTGCCCAAAGGGTTCTATTGAAGAGTTCAGTGAGCAGACTGTGAACAGTTAATATAACCACCAAGGAATGGTGGCAGCAGGAAGCCATCACCTCCTCTACCCTAAAGAAGCCATTCGATACCCACAGCTTTGCAAGATGCAACCCTGCTGAAAATTGCATCTAGGTTAAGGGTGATGGATTACCTATCCCTCCCACTGTCTTCCTCCTGCTGAATCTTCAGCCATGCCCAAGCAAGGGAATCTGCTAGGCTAGTCTTGGGACTGAAGTGCTTAGTCTTCTGTCCGAGAAAGGCTCGGATTGACCCTTAGTGCGCCTATAGAGAACCAAATAGATTTTTTTCCCCCAAGTCTAGTGTTAAGGGATTCTCTTAATTACTTTAAGTAAAAATATCCATTTTGTTGCTTTGGCAAAGCCACAAGCTGTTACTACCTTATCCAGTCTTTAGGCCAGTTCTTGCCAGTTAGTTAGCAATTAAATACTCACTACTTGGCATCAGGCATGTACTGAGAATTCATTGTATAGTGCGCCTGACTTGATTTCCTCACATAATTGACACCATGGTCAACACATTTATTAAGTGTTGTTTCCTCTGCTCAGAAGGCTTTGTCATTTTCTTGAGACGTTAGCACCAGTGACTAGTAAAGAAGATCCATCTTAACTTTCCTTCTATTTATTTTTTCTAATAATTTCATGCATGTACACTATGTACCTTGATCCTGGCCACCCAGTTCACCCCTCCCGTTACCCTCAGATCCCACCCAGGACTATCACCCCTTCCATGTTTTGTTTTGTTTTTTTTTGGCGGAGGGGGGAGGGGGCTGAGGAAACACAGGTTCCAATTAGTGCTGCCTCCTGGAGTGTTGACCAATCTGGTCTTAAGATCTTAACCATAACTGCAGTAGGCTCAGGAGTGTGATGGCCGTGTCATCTCCAGGTAACAGCAGTTTACAGCTTTCCTCTGGCTCTTATGTTCTTTTACCCCTTATTCCTCGGTGTTCCCTGGGTCTTGTGTGTGAGGGGGATGGAGATGCCTCATTTGGGGCTGAGCATTCGCTTGTACTGGGAAGTCACACCTAGGGCCACTGATAACCTGTACATACATCTCTAGGCCAGCTTTTCTCTTTTGAAAAGTTACTTTAGTCTCATCCTATTCAAGGAAATGAGTCACTTTCCCTCTTATTTTTATTGTAGTCAAATTAGTAAGTTGATTTGTGGGCAAATGACATTTTTCTCATGGATAATCTTTTAATTCAAGTTTATGACAATATGTGCTTAGAATGTTTTCTCCAAACCCTCAGAATGGTGCGCACCTTTCCTGCTGCCAGAATCCCCCGCTGTAGGCAATGGGAGAAATGGCTGACATGACTAAAATCTGTTACAGAGAGCGTGCTAGCCTAGCGTGCGGGAGAGACTCTTCCTCTGTGTCACACATGACATACCTGAAGTGGCTGAATCATTTCTGAAGACAGGAAGTTCTGAGCCTGAAATTCTGCCATATTGAGTTTTGTGTATTTTTTGGAAAAAGTTTTTCATTCATTTGAAATTTCTTATGAATTTTGTTCTGTGATAATTTCACGTGTGTATGTAACGCATTCTGTCACTTCCTCCACCCCCACTCCTGATTTTCCAGACTCTTCCAGTCTCCCTTATTCCTTACAGTCATCTTTCCTATACTCTCTAATTTTGTTTAGCTCTGTGCCCCGTGGGATTTAACTAGGGCCCTGTGACTCTGGTTTAGAGCTAGCTAGCAGAGCCTGGTGTGCTCACCAGCATGTACACAGCTCGACGCTCTGGCTCCCTGGCTCCCAGCATCTGGTGGTTGCCAAGAAATGAGCATTAGCAGTAGGGTTGGTCCGCCTTCTCCTTCTGTAGCTGACTTTGTGGTATGTTTTACTCTTTTGGCTTTTTGGGGGGCCGCCACCTAGCTCTCAAGTAAATGACACATGGAGGCTTATTCTTAGTTCTGAATATCTGGGCTTAGCTTGGCTTGTTTCTTGCCAGCTTTTCTTAAATTATCCTGACTACCTTTTGCCTCTGGGCTTTTATCCTTCTCTACATCTGTATACCTTTCCTTCCTTCTTACTCTGTAACTGGCTGGGTGGCTGACCCCACGTCCTCCTCTCCTTATCTTGCTCTTCATTCTCTCTCCTCCCAGAGTCCCCCTGCTATTTATCCTCTCTGCCTACTAGCCCCGCCTACCCTTACTCCTGCCTTGCTATTGGCCTTTTCTCTCTTTATTAGACCAATCAGGTGTTCTAGACAGATACAGTAACACAGCTTCACAGAGTTAAATAAATGCAGCATAAACAAAAGTCACACACCTTAAAATCTTATTCCCCCACAGTTGAGTCTGCTGATCTGCCAGTTTCTGAAAGGTCTCCATGTTAAAGTCAGCAACTGCCTCTTTATGCATCCTTATAATCCTGTCACCTCTAGTTTTATGTATCTTAAGTTTCTTACTAGTTGCACTTATAGTCAGGATTGTTATAGCATCTTAATTTATTTTCTTTGCCCCAGTTCTATTTTGGTTAATAGTAAAACTCATCACCAGGTTTCTTTTGCCTGACATTTTCTTCATAGCATCTGAGTTTCTGTTTATTTTTATCCATTTTGTATACTTTTATTTAAATGTGTTTCCTTTCAGTCGCCTTTTTCCAAATCTCACTCTTAAATACATTATTATGGGAGTCTTTATGTGACTTCATTAGTGAATATAGTCTATTTATATTTTCTTTAATCACCTGTTAGACATTTTGCCCTCTTGGCTTAATAATTGTATTTTCCTTTTTCTTTTTTCCTACCTGTCATCATAAATATCAAATTTTTATCTGTTACCTGAATGTTATTTTCTTATTTTATTTTCTCGTAGTTTGAGTCAATTCTAAGTATAATATAGAAAGTAGATCGGTATCATTAATCATTAGTAAAATGATAACTATAGCATATTGCCTGTGAACTCTTCTGTTGCCACTGTCTTTGTGATTCAGGAGTCTTAGCTAAGTCTGCTGACAGGTCTGCCTGTTGCAGCGGGATTGTCTCCAGCTCCCTCAGCCGTACTATGCTGAGAACCTTTTGCAGGGTTCATTTACTCCTCTTTCTGTGGCTCCCTTCCTACCGTCAGCACAAGAGGTTCCTGTCACATGGCCCAGAAGTTAAATTAGCAGTCAGGAGGTCACAGCTTCAGGGTGTGGAGGCTGCTAGCCTGATGTCCCACAGGTGTGCGCTTAGCAGGGCTATGTGGGAAAGGTGAGGACCAATTACAGTCTGGCTCCTTCCTGGTTGCTGGCATTCCTCGGCTTCAGGTCTTGACCTTTGCAACATCAGAACCCCCATGTGTTCTTTTTTTAAGAATTCATTCACGACCATCTTTTCTTTCTTCCTCCCTCCCTCCCTCCTTTCCTCCCTCCCTTCCTCCCTCCCTTCTTTCCTTTCTTATTTTTAGAGTAGCGAATAATAGCCTGAAGCACATAGATCCAAATTGCTTTCTGGAGAGGAAGGGCATAGCTTTGTTAGTTTGCTGTGCGAACCCAACTGAAAGTTTCCCCTACCTAATTCAGCCATGCCTGCCTTAATGTATTTATTTTATTAATACTATCATCTACTTTCCTGGGGCGTGTTTCTTTGTTCATGTACCAGCGTCCAACCACTTGTACTTTATTGTTGTGATGGGCGGGCAGTTAGAACCGACTCTCAGTACTGCCCCTTTTGCGTCTCCCACTTGGTTAGCATTCTCGCTGGCTTCACTTTGGAAATAGTCTGTAATTTCCACTCTCTCTAATTTATTTTCATTTTGACTTGCATAACTGAAACAATGGCTTTGAATCTGTAACTTTATTAATCATTTTATTGAATTGTGATCAGATACTGTTTTTTCAACCAATTTTTTGAAAAATGATGCTTTTATTGTAGATTATATGGGTGTTTGTGACTAAATTGGTGTTTTAAGTGTTCTTAATCCTTATTCATTTTTCTCAAACCTTGTAATTTATATGATTTATAGTTAATTATACCTCCATATTATTTTTGTCTATTTTGATGTTATATTAGAAGCATATGAAATTTAGCAATAATTTCCTTTTTCTTTTAGGTTATACTTTGATGTTAATATTTGACAACTTTTGTTGTAATACCAAGTGTATACCTACATCTAACAAAGCCAGTTGCAATATTTTCTTTTATTGGAATTTAAAAAATATACAATGTTAGACTCTGTATCTAAGATTATTACTAAGATAATTTTTTTCAGTTTGAACTTACTATAATAATTACTCAAGGTGTTTATTACTATGCTTAAATAATTTTATGCTTTGTTTCTTTTATATTTGTTGGCTGTTAATATAGGTTATCTTCAAGACTTTAAAGTATATTCTCTTCATCATTTTAAAAATTAAGAACCAAAATGCCATTTGCATTCTCTGTATGAAGGTGTTTGATAAAATCTTGAATTTTAAGAAAATTAAATATTGAAATTTGTTACACTTTTAAAAGATTTAAAGTAGCTTTATAATATAATTGCAAATAATTATGCTCTTATTTTTTTCCTTTAAAAGTATTATTTCCTAATTCTTTGGTTTTTTTAATTTTTAAGAGTGTCTCTGAGTAATTTATTAGGTGTTTGTATGTG